AAGTATGGGACTTATAAACATAACTATTTCATCTTAATAAAGGTGGTGATAGTGGTGCCAAGGACACCAGGTGCTTTCCAGAAAGTCCAAGATACAGTGACAGTTAGAAAAATAATAGCAAGTAAAACATGTCAAGTACACTGCATGTTTCTCAACACAACCAACTCCAAGAGGCAACCTTCCTTGAAGTTCCAGCCTCAACCCACGGAGGATCTCACATGGGCTCCATTGGAGATGGCGTGACAGCGGTGAGGGGCCACCTGGGTGAGAATTTGGGGATCTATGGTAGGGTATGGGGTTAATCTGGTTTGAAAAGTTAGTCATGGGATTTGGGGTTAAGGAATAAGAGCCAGCCTGTGAGAGAGGTCTGCAGGGAGAGATGAGAGGAATCGCCACAGAATTTTAAATTGTATCTATTGTCTTTTTTATTTCCATCATCATTTCTATTTGTTTTTTATTTAGTAATTTTTATCTCTTTTTAAAATTATATTTCAATGTTTAAATTGACTTATTTCATTCAGCTCTCTGCTTTTCTTCTCTTGGAAAATATTGGACCCTTTTTGACTTGATTTACCATATTTATAAACACTCCTTTGAATTCTTATATGGGATTTCATCTGAATCACTTTGGTTTTATTTGATTTTTATTGATTCTTCAAGAATTCCATACAAAATATTTTAATCACCTTCAGACCACCTTCCTCATCTCTAATCTGCCCTCCCACTCCTTCAACTCCATGTTCTATCTTATTATTTTTATTATTGTTTTTATTTATTTTTTGAGAATTTCCTACAATATATCATGATCCTATATAGAACACCCTCCCATATGTGTATCCCTAATTGCATCCCTAATAAACTTCATAAATTCTGTCCTAAGATTAAGGCTTATTTAACCAAGTTTGTACCATCAAATGTAACTTGGTGTGTCCATCCACTGGAGCCTGGTCAACATATCTAATGTCACTGCCTTAAAAATATTTTTATTTATTACTTTTATTTTATGTGTGTGAGTGCATTGCCTGCATATGTGTAAGTGCACCTCTGTCATGCAATCTCTGTGAAGGTCAGAAGAGGGCATTGGATTTCCTTGGAACTGGAGTTATGGATAGTTGTTTGCTGCCATGTGGGTGCTGGGAATCAAACCTGGATACTCTGCAAGAACAGCCAGTGTTCTTAACTGCTGAGCCGTCTCTCAAGCCCCTAGTGCTACTACCTTAAAGAAAACGAACTCTCAATGTCCCAGTATTCATCTTTAGCCAATAGTTCCTTACCTAAGTTTGAGGTTTCTTACCTATTTCTGCACTTCAAAGCTGAGTTTTTGTCCAGTATGAACTTGGATAAGTCTTGTGCATGCTGTCACTATTGCTGTAATTTCATATGAGTAACTTCCCAGCCACCTGGAAAAGTCTGTTTCCTTCTGATCATCAAAACTCCTGGCTCTTACAGTCTTTATGCCACTTCTTCCACAATGGTTCCTGAACTCTGTGTGTCAGAGGTTTGATATAGGTGTCCTACCCAGGGAAAAGCCCTCTACACTCTCTTATTCTCTTCATTCTGGCTAGTTATACCTTTCCAGGTTAATCATCATCTGTTGCCTGAGGAAGTTTCACTGGTGAAAGTTGCATGTGTTGTTTTTTTTTTTTTCTGCCCTGTTCCACTCTGCTCTGTAAGCCTTAGGTGTAGAGGTTGCATTGCACATGTGTCATTTAGCCCTTGGTACCTCCTAGGTACTTGTTCTTTGCCTTTGGCCAGTTGGACATCTCTGTAATAGTCTTCATCTTTTGTAAAAAGGTTTTTTGATGAGTGGTGAGAGTTACATTTGTCTGTATTATAAGGATCCATGTTTAGAATACAGTAAGAAATTATATTGGTCTAGGGATATGACAAAAGTACTTTTTTATTTTTTAGGATTTATGAGGGCTACAGTCATGTGTATTTGGCTGTTTATAGTACCATACAGGAGTTCTCTCCCATTGAGAAAACTTTAATTCCAATTACACAGCTGTGATTACCCCCAAGAAAAATGTTCCACTTCTTCACCAATACATAGTATGCTGGGTCAGTCATTGTGTTTGTTAAGTTTTACAGCTGGGTGGGACCATTAACTGTTTTTCTCCCTTGGTATGCATAGTATCCCCTGATAATAGGAGAGCTAATCTTTGGGGAGGAGACTTCCAGGTCAATTCCAGATGGATTGTACCAAGTCCTGTGTTGAAGTGTCACCTGTCTTCAGCAATAAGTTCTTATCTTCAAGACCTGGGAGGTAATCATAGGCCATGGAAATAGTCTGTGTTATTTTGGGAGTCTCTTGGACCAACAACTCAAAGGGAGGTTTTTTCCTGCCTGCTGATGTCTTTTGTTATATAGCATTCAACTATGTACGTGAACTTCCAAACATTTTGTGTGTGTATTTTTGAACAGGCTTTTGCCCCAATACATTTCTATCTGATTTTCCTCACCTACTAAGTATTGTTTATCTCTCCTCATTCTCCACGTGCATCCTCCATCCCCAGTTAAAGTATTTACTTTTCCTATTTCCCCCTTGGTTGCATCTGTCTCCTACTATCTCCCTCTCTTGGGCTCCTTCTTCCTCTTTACCCCATCGTTCATTTCCATTTTCTGAAATCCTGTGGTTACATCAGGATATATAGCTCACATCTAAGTATTTGGAGGTAAGATCCACAAATGGGGGAGAATATACCTTGCTTCTTTTTCTGAGTCTGTGTTACTTCTCTTAGTATAGTGGTTTCTTTATTCATCCATTTACCTGTAAATTTCATGATTTTGTATTTTACTGCTTAATAGAAGTTCATGTGTAAATACACCACATTTTCATTATCTGTTAATTGACTGAGCATCTTCCTTTTCTTAGCTATTATGAAAGATCAGCAACAAACATGGCTGTGCAAGAATCTCTGCAGCATGATGAGTCTTTTGAATATGGGCCAAAGAGCGAGATAAATGGGTCATATGATATATTCATTTTTAGTTTTAAATAGTTCTACACTCTGATTTCCACAATGGTTGCACCCGTTTACAATCCCACCAGCAATGGATGAATGTCTGCATTCTCTGCATCCTTACCAGCATTTGGGGGTCATTTCTTTTCTTTATTTTAGTCATTCTGATAGGGCTAAGATGAAATCTTAAGAAGTTTGATTTGCATTTCCTTAACTATTAAGGGGATTGAACACATTTTAAGAAGTTTCTTAACAATTTCTACTTCTTCTCTTGAGAGCTCTATGTCCAGATCCATAGCCCACTTTTTAACTGGGTCATTTGCTTGATTCTTCTTTTTTTAAGTTCTTCGTATATTCTGGATATAATCTTCTGTCAGATATATAGCTGGTGAAGATTTTCTCCCACTCTGTGGGCTTCCTCTTCACTTGATTGTTTCTTTTGCTGTACAGCAAAATTTTAGTTATTGAGGTCCCATTTGTTAACTGTTAACCTTAATTCTTAGGGACTGATGTCTTCTTTAGAAAGTCTTTTCCTGCACCTATAACTTTTAGGGTACTGCAAATGTTTTCTTCTAAAAATTTCAGCATTTCACATTGAGGTCTTTGATGAATTTGGAGTTGACTTTTGTGCAGTGTGATAAGTATGGGCCTTATTTCATTCTTCTACACATGGAGATGCAGTTTTGCCAGCACTATTTGTTGAAAATGTTGTCTTTCCTACAGTATATGTTTTTGGAATCCTTGTCATGTAATAGGTGGCTGAAATTGTGTGCACTCATATTTGAGTCTTCTTTTATTTTTCCATTGATAGACATGTCTGTTTGTGTGACAGTATCATGTTGTTTCTGTGATATAGCTCCTTAACATTTTTTGAGATCCAGTATGGCAATCTCCCCAGCATTGCTCTTTGAACTCAGATTTTCTTTGGGTATCTGAATTCTTTATGGTTCCATATTAATTTTAGATTTCTTTTCTGTTTCTGTGAAGAATGTCATTGGGGATTTTGATTGGGATTGCATTGACTTGCTTTAGGTAGGGCAGTCATTTTCAAACTATTAATTCCATGAACATGGGATATCTTTCTGTCTCCTTGGATCTTCCTCAATCTCTTTTTCAGAGACTTACAGTTTTCACTGGAGAATTCTTTGGTTAGGTTTTTTCCTTAGAGATTCTTGTGGCCATTGTGACTACGTTTCCATGAACTCTTCCTATGATTTGTTGCTATTTATATGTAGAAAACCTACTCATTTTTTGTAAACTTGTTTTCTATCCTGCTGCTTTGCTGAAAAGGTGATCATTTCCCTAAATTTTCTGGTGGGATTTTTGATATTGCTTATGTAAAATATCATATCATCTACAAGTACTTTAATCTGACCTCTTCTTTTCCAAGTAGTACCCCTTTATTTTCCTTTTCTTGTTCTTTGCTCAAGCACTATATTGAAAAGGAGTGGGAACAGCCTTGTTTTATTAGTGATTTTAATAGGAATGCCTTAAGATTTCCTCCATTTAGAATGATGTCACCTCTGGGTTTATTGTATATAGCCCTAATTATATTGCAGTATATTCCCCTCAGCCCAATTCCCTTTATTACTTTTGCCAGGAATTCATGTTAGATTTTCTCAAAGGCCTTTTCTGAATATATTGAGATGATCATGTGATTTTTGTCTGTAACATTTATACGATTTATTTTGCTCACTGACTTACATATGTTGAACGAGATCTGTATCTCTGTAATAAATACAACTTGATATCGATGGATGATCTTTTTGATGTGTATCTGTATGTGATTTGTGAGTTCTTTGTTAAGAATTTTTGTATTTATGCTCATTAAGGATATGGGCCCATAGTGTTCTCTCTTTGTCTTTCTCTGTCTTTTTCTGTCTCTCTGTCTCTCTCTGTCTCTCTGTCTCTCTCTCTGTCTCTCTCTCTCTCTCTCTCTTCTCCCTCCCTCTTTGGTTTTGGTATTAGAATAATATTGGCTTCTTAGAAGGAGGTTGAGAATTTCCTCTCTATTTTATTTTTATTAATTTAAGTACTATTCATTGTAGATTTCTCTGAAGTTCTGGTAAAATTCTGTTGTGAATCTATATGGACATGGTCTTTTTGTTATGAATACTAGGATAATCTACCAATTTAAAATACTTAACACATATGCAAAGTGTCTCTGCCATATAAAGAAATATAGTCAAGAGGTCTCAAGTAGTGTGAAGAGGACACTTTTCTTACATCATTCAAAAATCTGTCACAGTGATTCTCAGGTTAGTATTGCACAGACGCACTTCAAGTAAATACCCAGCTCAAGCAGGTTTTGTGATAATTGAAGGTGACTCAGGATTATGAATTGTAAACCCCTTTCTAGAAGTTTTAAATCAATTTTTTATCTAAACTAAAAAACTGAACTTCTTACACATCATAATGAACATAATTGGAAATATGGACATGGCTAAATATGCAAAAGATTTCACGTAGCCTTTCTACATAG